AACAATGCAGTTCCCTTAAAGTACCCAGCCTCAGGCCTCCACTCCAGACACACAGGTCAGATATGATGATGATTACTGAAAATCTTATCTCATCATATAAAAGAAAAAGGTTACTTCCAATCCCAAAGGATCAGCCACATACCCAGGTCTAATTATAACTTAGATCTTACCCAAAATACATGCTTACAGCCAATTCTTATTAACTAAGCTAAAATTTATTAAAAAAGAAAAGAGAGAGAGAGTGTTGGTTAAAAGATCAATATACATACAGACTTGAATTCAACTCTTGAGGTTCAGATACACAGCAGTGGTGAGCTTGTAGTTGCCAAAAGTCCTTTTAGATATAGTCCATAGGTTATAATCCAATCTCCATATTCAGGGTGGCTCCAGTCAATGACTGGGGATCTCAATCCTTGTGGCTTAAGGTTTCCCCCTTTGAAACCCAAAGCAGATCTGAGATGAAGTAGGATCATGTCCCAGAGTTCTTATACATTTCCAGCAGCCTTTCTGCCTGAGAAAACAATAGGCCTAACTCTCCTTCTTCCAAACATCCTGGCAATTAGCACAGGGTAATTTATCCATTAAACAGTTCAGATACAGGTTACCTCAACCTTCAAAGAGACATATAGACAATAATACTATTTCACTCAAGTATCATCATAAGTGTTAATATTCCTTTTTTTGATCTTTGAATTAAAACTATAGCAATAGACAAGACTTGTTTGCTTACATCACAAGACCTGAGCAAACATCTATCCTTGAGATCTCGAACAATGCAGACTTGCATTTCAAAGCTCTATTAATTTACATATTTTCCTAATCAGTCTTTAAAGTGCAGCCATGTCAGGTCAGTCTGTGAGTTAATTAACTCTTTCTGGCCCTGTCATCTTTCAATGAGATAGTATATTACACTCATAACGTCACACCCACTTCCAGGTGGGCTGGATAATGGCAGGTGTTTGCCAGACTGTGAGCTGGTGATAACAGTCACATTTATTGGAAGGATATATTTCCCTGAGAGATGATATTTTAAAATGTCCACCAAGGAGTGTTGAGACTTCTGGACCATCTCTAATGGGTTCTGGAGAAACTTCACCACGCATTTCATAGGGTCTTGCAAGACCCGAAAGTGGTCAGTGTAAGAAGCTGGTAGGTGCATTACCATCTCATCTGGGAATGAAGAGGACTTGGCTGATGGGGGCGAGTTTTTTCTATCTGGGGATCCTGCTTCTCTGCGATGTCCCCCAGTGCTGAGAGGGCATAAGGTACTGAAGGGCAATCCTGTGGCACTATAGGTTGTTCACTTGGTGCCTGTGAATGATGCCATACTGGCATGTATTAGGCTCTCTTTCTGGTTGAAACCCTATAAAATTGTTCACTGAGGGGAATCCAGGGGGGAATAAAAGAAGGGACCCCAGAGACAATTATATCCCCTAGCTCTAGGAGGTCTGGTGGGATCTGAAAAAGCTTCAGAATACTGGCTCACAGGGTGTCGTGGTAAGATGCTGAAAAAGAGCCCTATCTTGAGACTTCTGGGCTGTAGGGGGAGCCTCAGACATAAGTGTGAGTACTGAAGGCTGGAGGTCTTATCCGGTTCAATCCATCTGAGCGATATTGGAAAAGTGGCCCTGGTACAGGACTGTAGCAGGGGAGACTCTGCTACGTCCAGTATAAACCAGTCCTCCAGCGAAAGTAATCTGGAGGGAGCTGGAAGGCTCTGGTATCCAGAAGACTGAACTGATGCTAGGACCTAGTACTGCCGAAACAGTGGCTGCAGTACTGGTCAGGCTTGAAGAGGAGCTTCTCTACCTCAAAGCCCTGGTGTAAGGGAGATGATGGCGCCAGGGCGTGCACAGGAGGTCCATGCATATCTCAGTGCTTTGACATGTCGGTCGGTACCGAGGTGTTGTCTCTTAGACTTGTCCACACACTGCATCTTGTGCAGCACCAGTGGCTTGGTACCATGCTCAGAAGATACCGCAGCTGTAGTCTTTGAGGGATGTGAGGTGTCCTTACAAGTGGGATTTATGGGGTGACCTATCCCTCCTCTCAGGTTCTCTGGAAGGAGAAAGTGTTCTTCTTCTTAGAAGTCCTAGTCTCCAAAGGTACTGCTGCCAACAGAGCAGCCTGGGATGTTGAGGCTGACACACAACAGGGAAGCAGATCCCACTGGGACTAGTGAACACGTCATTAGGAGCTTCAGTCTTGCCTCTCTGTCTTTCTGAGACGTGCCTTTAAATCCCATACAGACCTTACACTTAGATAGGACATGGGTATCTCCAAGGCAGGAGAGAGAGTTCGAATGCCCACCACTATGGGGAAAAGACCTGTGGCAGGTCTGGCAGGGCACAATTCCCAGAGTCTTCAGCATAACCCAGAGTGGTAGCGGACTAAAGGAGAGACAGGAAGAGGGTAATTCCCCTTCTAAACACAAGTGTATAAAATTAAAGAAATAAAATAACTAAGAAAATGAAAAAAAAAGAAAATGAATAAACAGTATACAAGAAAAGTGGGAAGCTGAGAATCAACAGACACACATTCGCTCTGTCTTGAGCCACAGGTGGTTGAGATGGAACTGAGTGGAATGGGTCCACGCCTCCTTATATGCCCTCGTTTGGGGACAGGCAGTGCTGCTCTGTGCAGGTGCAGGCCTGCGAACACTGCGTTGCATTCTCCAGTTGAGAGTGCATGGGCGCACACCCATCCTATGGCAGAGCACCCATAAGGGCATATACTCAAAAAAGAATTAACCATTAATTTTGGATTTGCCAGAATGATTAACGCTGGAGTTTCTTTGGTTAACACAGAAGAGCCAAGAGATGCACACAATTTTAAAAGTAAATTTAAAAGCATCTGTAGTCCGACTCCCACAGCCTTACTATTCCGCACACAAACCTGGTGTAAATTTTGAATTCCTTTGTCATGTATTTTTAGGAATTAAAAAATGATATAAACGGGGGGGGGGGAGGGTGATGAGGGAATTACTTATTTCCATTAAAAATAAAATGTTGAGGATAAAATTGCTTTTCACATGCTGTACCACAGCTGAAGTCACTCAATACCAAAGAAGTCTTAAGATCTCAAAAACTGTTAATTCAGACAATATTTAATCCTGGTCTCTTATTGGTTCACAAATCTATCTCCAAGAACCCTACAAATTTATGTTATCTTTATTCATTGCTGAATCTGAAGTTAATATTGTTTCAAGGCAGAAAATCAAATCCCGTTGGAAAAATCGCTTTCAATCTTGGGCATACACCTAAAACACCAGATCATGTTTTTATAGCTTCATATAGAAATGAAACCATTTCTGAAGTTACCTTACAATTTGGTGTACCAAATTTATTGGCAGAAAAGTGATTTAACAACGTTTCAATAAGGCGTTTTTCTTCCTGTTTGTTTTTTTTTAGAGTTACATTCTCCTCATTTTCTACTTGTTTTGAATAGAATTCTTTGAGTTCATTGCTTTGCTAAATAAAAAATAGAAAAAAGAGTTAGAACAAATTGCGAAATGTTCAAACTTTTCAAAATTAAAAGAAACAGTTCATGCCAAAAATATGTACATGTATTTGTGTGGACAAACACAAATTTGAATTCAAAAACAATTATTTGCCTTAACACCTTCCACTGAATCATAAAGCACTTAGCAGTACTTAATACAAGACATTCATCTAACTGAAGCATTACACCCTTCACTGGAAGACATGGGTTTGGAAGAGTCTCAAAAACAGTTAGTTCAGCCCCCTTTTTCCCCCCACACACATACTAGGATTAGTTTAGTATATATAAAGCATCTCAAGGACCAATTATATTGACCACAGTCTTACATACACGTGCACGTTTTATAATATATACTCTCATTAAAGTACTAACCAGAGTCAACCCTGCTTAGCTTACATAGCTGTCAATATCTCAGCCCAATGTATCAGGCCATAAGAGGAGATGAAATAAATTAGCATAAGAAATTTAACAGGCATGGCAAAACACTGCTTTTTATTTAATGCATACTTTTGATTCATAAGATTCTTCTGCTAGCTCAGCATAGCCCTCTTCAATGAGCATGTCTCGAATGTTCACTTCTTTAATTCCGGAGTAACGGTAAACATCCACATGCAGAACACTGTGCACAACTGAATACACCTTCACTATAAGAACACAGTCATTTACTAATGAAGCAAATCTTTGGCTAGCACCATAGCTCCACTGTTCTCCACATACAAGAGATTTCGCAGAGGGGCGCATCTTGCATATCTTGAATTCTAAAGCCTAAAACAACATATTAAAGAAAGCATGATGAACTCCAGAAGTGACAGACACATTTTGATTTTCTTACCAAAACAATTCAGATCAGTAACAATCAAAAAGATAAACCATCACATGCATAACACTTCCTCCATTAACCATATTAAATTCATTATTTTACATAGAGAACTCCTAAGATTGCCATAAAACTACTGGTACAAATCCCATTATACTGACACGTACGTCTACACCAATGGCACCAAAATAGGGGGGGCCACGACCCCACACTTTTTAACCTGGGTGTAGTCTGGGGGGACGGGGCCAGCGTTGCCCCCCCCAAACTGCAAGCCTTGGGCAGGCGTGGAGCGGTGCTGGCAGGGCCTGTGCTTCATGGTGGGGGAGCCGATCACCGTTAATAATCAAATATAAACATTGTTCACACAATAACCCTTGAGAACTACACATGACCCCAAACCACAAGGTAGGCACCACTGTTCTACAGTTACTTGAAACAAGGTTACTTATTAAATAGGTCTTCTCTTGGTGGAAAACACTTAGGCTTCCAAAAATACTTTATGTATGACTAGTGACAAAGGCTTTCACATACATCAGATTAGCAAAATATGGTAGCCAGTCATGGATCTTTATTATTTGGGAAAGTTTTGTTGAGGTTTAAAAGAATCTCAAGCTTGTTGGCCTATAATATTAATACATTCATTAAAAAGAAGCAAACACCATTTAGCATTACCTGAAAAGGGAGCTCTCGAAGGTAGTTTGGAATTTCCTTTAAAAGATTTAAAAACACTCTTGATCTATTGCCATAATCGACAAAGAAAACCTTGACAACAAAGAAAGGAATGAAAATATAAAATCAGTGGAGATTCCAAAGCACTAAAGAAAGTGCAAGTTTAGCAGATGTAAGGTAGCAGGCACACAATGGACCTATTGCAGTATATAAAATTACTTTAATAGTTACACATCAGCTACACAGAGACAGTCAGTTTAGTCGCACAATACACTACATAACCAACTGAAAGACAAATACTTATAACAACTACAGTCTTGAATAATGGGTTCCTGGAGGCAGAATGTGTCAGAAACAACAGGTCAATTTTATTCTGCCTATTGCTCCATCTTTTCCTAGGTTACACATCCATCAATCAAAAAACAACTGCTAACTAGAGACAGCATTAGGCAAACTTTTCTCCAAGGCAACGGTTCTTGGTTCATACTAATTATGGACTAAGGGCTGGTGGCTTAGATTGAAATTTGCATAATCTTACCTCACATCGGCAGTGGATGAAGTCAACTACTTGTGGTCTCTGGATTGGCAGATAGTTACTGCACAGATTGGCATGTAGGGGAGGGTGACAGCCAGGGATTACACTGCCCTCTCCCCCGCCATCCAAAGCAAAAAAAAAAAATGTCAGTGGAACAGACAGGCCTGTCTGAGCTATCTGATCAGCTGCTTTGCTGTCCACTTGCTGACAGGGATGGCAAAAAGATTCCAAAGATTTGGAGATTTACTGGACTTCTGTAAGGCATGTACGTACAGAATTAGATCGGATTTCATCAACTGATTATGCAATTAGAAGTGGTGCCCACATGAAGCTATTAAAATCATACTCGTACATACCTTAAAACTGTCAGGTGATCCTTGCCAAGAACAGAACAGCAAAGTCAAGAAAGGGTTGTTAGCTTTCCATGAAATTGCGTCTGCATTTGAGGGGCACCACATCTATGATGAGAGCTGATGGCCTTAGAGCAAAGCCCAGCCAGCCTGTGCCTGAGGCTACACCTACATCAGGGGTAGTCAATAGGCAGACTGTGGGCCAAATCCAGATTGCCAGATGCTTTTTAATGGACTCCAAAATGTTATTTAATCATCATCATTACTGGGTTTTTTAAATTATTTCTCTGGAGTCTGGATATTGACTATGCCTTGACCAAGAAATCTGGACTACCCCAACCTACCTGCAGGCCTGATTCAGACCTCAAACAAGCTTTATCAAAAGTAGGAGTGGTTAGCTGTAGCTGAGCACCTAGCTTCAAGGGAGCCAGTGGTGAGGGGTCACTGCTACAGTGCAATCAAGGCTCTTGGAAGGGGAACCTTTGGCACCACAGAGAGGTAGCATGTAACTGTTCTGAGGGCTTGTCTTCACTACCGGGGTAAATCGATCTAAGTTACGCTACTCCACCTACATTAATAATGTAGCTGGAGTTGTTGACGTAGCTTAGGTTGATTTACCGCGGTGTCTTCACTGAGCTGCATTAATCGGAGACGCTCTCTGGTCGACTTACCTTACTCTTCTCAGGGAGCTGGAGTAGCGGAGAGCACTCTGCTATCGATTTAGTGGGTCTTCACTAGACCTGCCAAATGGACACCCGCTGCATCAACTGCAGCAGCAGCGATCTCCCCAGTAGTGAAGACAAGCCCTCAGAAGCCAATTCATAGAATCATAGAATATCAGGGTTGGAAGAGACCTAGGAGATTATCTAGTCCAACCCTCTGATCAAAGCAGGACCAATCCCCAACTAAATCCCCAAATGGCCCCCTCAAGGATTGAACTCACAACCCTGGGTTTAGCAGGCCAATGCTCAAACCACTGAACTATCCCTCCCCAGTGTGGCCATCCTTTTACATACAGTTGAGAACACGTGATTCCATCAAGTTGTGATTTTTGATCACTCTGATGAACACATTTACCTTCTCAGTCGTTACATGCTGACACTGATTCATCAAGTTGACATACAATTTTGTTATTTGAAGTATTCTTCCAAACTATAGAGCTTGTAGTTGGAGCCTGTTTTCAGTTTTTCATTTGCTACCTTCTACTTCAGCACACATTACTACATGACCCACTTTTCTCTCTTATCAAAATTTTCCTTCAATGTCACAAAGTGACAATTTCCCTGTTGTGTTCTGACCTATCATTCATTTGCTCCTGGGGAACTTTGGCTAATGTTTGCTTTTATACATTTGCTTTCTTTATAAAGATGTTTGTAATTGTCACAAAAGTATTTCATTAAAAATATGAAGCTACAAGATTGTTAATCCAATTAGTTCTTACCATTCAATATAACATAACATATTACTATACCTCAGCAGAATCTCCAGAAACATACAGGATCTGGGCTCTATAGTATCTTTTGTTTTCAAACTCAGTAAACTGTGCCAGACAAACTAAGTCAGGATATGGACGCACTGGTAGAGGCATCAGGTCCAGGTGGTTAATCTCAGCAGTAAGCCTTTTGAGAGCAGTCATATTTTTTTCATCTATTCGGTAACCCCAGAAGTGTCCAACTTCCACCACCTAAAAACACCAGAATACAACTTGCTAAAATATTTTGAATTTAAGTCATCTTTTTATATTAAAATCTGATTTCATATGATTTTTATTCTTACAATGCTTGAAAACATTTTTTTTTTAGTGTTACACAGCATACCAGGAAAAATACATTAAAAGCATTCCTAATCTTGAAAAGCATTTATGGTAGTAGTTTTTAAACTACTGCTGTATTTCTTAAATGATGAAGCATAACTTTCACATCCATATTGCACCACATATTGTAAATAAGAGACCTATTATCGTATGAACATTGGTGTAAAATCTGACATACCAAGAGGTGAAGATCTGGCATAATAGATTGATTTAAATCTTCAATTTTATCTTATTTTGTATTTGTACTCTCTTAGTTATTTTCCTAAAGAGAGGTTAATTCTCATTAGTTGGGAGCCCTTAAGACATGTTGGTTTGCAACTCAATATAGCCTTGACACTAAATTTGGTACTTACTTTTGTTAACCAGGAGAATACATTATATCCATACACATTTAAAGAATTATATAGCTTTACATACATTTATTCAGATTCTTAATTTTTACGTTACATTAGAAAATGGTGGATGATGCGCATTTATTAGACGACTTTTTTTGTAATTGTTTGTTTTGTATTTAAAAATTGATTTATTAAACAAAGGAATTATCTGTCAGTAGTAAAATGAACTGAAATCAATCATCCTATCAGTCCTCTAAGTTGGTGTCTCCAAAAAGAAGTATGATTCTGATGCTTGTATTGTTCAAATTACAAAATATTAAAATTTTTAAAAATAATTTTGGTATTTAAAAATAATGAAACTTCCCACTCCCAAAACCACAGGGAAATCTATGCTAGTTGCACTGGCACAGGGAATTTCTTTCTGAAAAGACATTAAAACGTTCACTTTTTAAAAGTGCATGCAGGCCATGTCCAAATCTTGCAGTATTTTCTTTCATAATATCTTCAAGACAAAACCTCTTGGACACAATTAAAAAAATCCACATACTAGTCCAGAACCTCATCTCCCATCTTGATTACTTCAACTTCCTCCTCTCTGGGGTCTTCCTGACACCCACCTTACCTGCACCAAGTCTATTCAAAATGCTACAATTATCTTCACTGACCATTGTTGAGATCATGTTGATTCCCTAGTCTGAGTCCTATTGGCAGGCTACCCAACATTCTTTTCCCTGTCTTCTTGCCCAGTTGGGACCTGCCTCTTGCTCTCCAGCTTTGCAGACAAAGGAGAGTTAATGGCCTACAGTGCACATTCCCTGCACTGTTCCCTGTAGCCAGACACCAACAAGTTGGGGAGCCAGAGCTGAGCCCAGGTTCCAGACAAAGACCAGGCAAAGCCAGAACAGTAGAGCTAGGAGTAGAGGTACTTGGAGAACAGCACAGAATCCAACACCTGGGGAGGAGATGAGCCCCTGAAGCCAGGTACAAGCTCATCACTTGCCCATGACACATGGAGAAAGGCCATTCTGAGCTGGACCACATCATGGGAGCCAGGCCTCCTGGAGAGTACAGCCAAACATCCCTCTTTGAAAATTATCATTCAAAAATAATGACAGATTTTTATCTCAATGAATACTTTTCCAACTCTGAGCCACAGCTATGTGGTTTGTGTGGGGAGGAGGGGGGGGTAAGGAGATGGAGAATAAAGGGATTTCAAGGCAACAGAATACATGAACGTAGCTATGGAATTTAGGTGTTGCTGCTGCAGAATTTGGTCCCTCTGTACTGTGGCGTATACAGGTCCCTTCTCACCTCCAAGGAGCTTCACAACTTAAGCCCCACCTATTTATCTGCTGATATATGTTATCTGTCTTCCCTTACACATCATTAAGGATGCCTGCCAGCCTCTGCTGCACCTTCCCAATTTTTTCCATGCCACTGCTTAGGTAGGCAATAGACTTCCTGAAGCAGTATGCAGAGCCACTAATTTGTCCTTAAAATCTTCTCTCAAGACTCACTTCTACTACAACACCTATAGGAAATTGCCAGCTGATAAACAGATGTAGATGGCAAGTATGGACTATTGATAATTGTTTGTTTGGTCTATACAAACCATGTAATTGTTCCCCTCATTCTCACCTCCTCTCCTTCTTTCCAACATTTATGACCACTTTAGAGTGTCTTGTCTTGGATTATAAACAATTTGGGGCAGGGAGCATCTTACCCTGTACAGCACCTAGCACAATTGGTCCCTCTATCCTCAATAGGATCGCAAGCTGTTAACACAAATAAATAATAATACTGCTCAACTGGCTCAACCTGTGATGCTTCTTGGTAAAAAGAACATCCAAATATTAACAGCAATGTATATTTTATTTTGCAGCTACTAGGTAATTTAAATCCTAACGTTAGCAATAACCAAAGTGAAGTTACTTATTGTGTACTGTAACTGGAGTTCTTAGAGATGTTTTGTCCATATGCACATTCCATGGATTGTACACGAGCCTCATGTAGTAGAGATCGGAGTCGTTTTGGCCAGCAGTAGCTGGGGGGCGCACATGCTCTCCAGTTGTGGTGCCCCACTGAGAAGGCATATATAGGCAAGGTGTGACCACTGCCATTTGGTTCCTTCTCAGTGCAGATCTCCTTAGAGGACTCCAAGGTAGAGGGATGTGCATATGGACAATACTTCTTGAAGAACTCTAGGTGCTATACCTGGTGAGTAACTTCCCTTCTCCTTCAAGTGATTGTCCACGTGTCCATTCCACTGTTGGTGTCTTCCTAGCAGTTATTATGTAAAGAAGGTGGGAGCTCAGCATAATTTAATGAAATAGTGATAGGACAGCTTTATCAAATGCAGCATCAAATCTAGAGACTTCCATTTAAGCACAATGCTGAGTGAACATGTGGAGTGATGCCCAAGTAGCTGCCTTAATGTCTGATACTAGTACATTTCTGAGTGAGGCTCTTGATGCCACTTGCACTCAAGTGGAATGTGTCCTAATTGTGGTGGATGGGTGTGACGGGGTGTACCAAGTCCTTTGAGGTCCCTTGCTGGAGGCCTTGTAGTCCTACCACACCCCAGAAAAGCAGCAGTAAAGATGGGTCCTCCAGGCCTGCCTAGAATGGCTGCCTCCCTGAAAAGGTAGACTGTGATGAGAATATTTTCCTTGCATCAGCCAATTGTCCAAGTAGAGGTATATACTCATGTTGCATTTTCTCGAGTAAGCTGCCACTACTGATAGCACCTTGGCGAACACTCTCGGCACTTTGGAAAGCCAAATGGTAGCATTTGGTATTGACAGCAGTCCTGCTCTACTATAAACCTCAGGTGATTCCTGTGGGGCAGAACAATGAAGATGTAGAAGTATGCGTCCTGAAGGTCAGGAGATGCAAACCAGTCTCCTGACTCTAGAGTCCAAGTTATCGACAGTAGGGTGACCGTCCAGAACTTCAATTAGTGAATTAAGGTGATGCGGTCTCACAGGTCTAAAATGGGTTACTATCCTACTTTTTAATTTGGGATTAGGAATTGGCTGCTGTAGCATCCCTTCCCTTTGTAAGGTGCAAGGACCTCCTATATCAATCCAAGAGAGAAAAGCGTGAGGACCTCTTCATGTAATACAGCCTCATGACAAAAGTCCCCAAAAAGGGACAGGGAAAGGGGTTGGGAATATCCACTGCAGAAATCTGGACAGAACAGTCCTGTGTAATCGTATCCATGACCCACTGGTTGGTGATGATAAAGGGACCAAGTGTACCTGAAGTGAGCTAAGTGATTCCTAAAAGGGAGACAGTTGATTTCCAAAATCAGTGGGGACAGAACACATCTCTTGACCATTCCATCAAAATGAATGCTTCTGGGACCGGGAAGATTGGGATGTTTGAAGTGGAGCAGTAGGCTGCCTCCTCTTATGGAAATGCTGTTGTTTTCTGGCCAGTTCTTAAGACCTCTGGTGGCAGAAGTATGGCTGGGTCAGTCTCTGCAAAGAATATTGCTGTTTTGCCTCACTGGTTTTAGATCTGAACAATTGCAGATTTTCCACCATGGGCTGTACTTTTCTGAGGAATCCCAATTTCTGAAGCCAGAAGGCCTAGTGCATAACAATCACGATTGCTATTGATCTGGCAGTCATATCTACCACATCCAATGCCACTTGGATACCGGTCCTGGATAAAAGTTGGCCCTCACTAACCAGCAACGTAAATTCCTCACAAGCATCATTGAGAAGATTGTACGCAAAGGCCAGCAATTTCTCGTGTATACAAAACTCATATGCCCAGTATGGCTTGATAACTGGCTACCTGGAACTATAGGAGTAAGCTTTTCAGCCAAACAAATATAATGTCTTCGATTCTGTCTTTCAGTGCAGACGTAAACTGTCTTGGCTTTTCATTTGCTGCCATGACCACAAGGAATGATGGGTTAGGGTGCATGTAAGAGAATTCTGCTCCCTTAGAAGGCATCTGGTGGTGGTGGTTTTTTTAATCTGCTCTGCAAGATGTAGGTAGTGCCAAAGCTGGTGTTTGCCACTAGGTCCTAATCAGATCCATGATGGCCTAATTAATGGGAGGGCAATCTTCCCTCCTGAGGAGGCTTTGAGTACATCCGCCAATTTATGGGTCTGTTCTTGGACCTCCTCAATACGAATTTGGAAAACATCAGCCATCCAATTCCTAGAAACCCTTACAGTCATCCATTTATGAGGTCATGGGTGGTACTAAAATGTCATCTGAGGATGAGTAGGAAAGGGTTACTGGTGCAGAAGGATCAACTTTCGGCACCTGTTCCATTACCTCCTCCACCTGTGGCTGCGCTGGAACCAGGCGGGGTGGTCTTAGCACCTGAACATGCAGTGCCATAGAAGTAGTCATCTTATGATGGTGTATGGCTGCTCCCAGGGACCAGGGTTGCTCTGAGCTGACCAGGAACTCCAGTAAGGCTGCATAGGCCACAGTGGATACACACCCAATGGCCAAGTTGTAGAAAACCAAGCGGCTGGGTTCTGTAGGTCCCAATATCTTTTTCACAAGGCG